GCTGAAATTTGTCCATTTTGGATTTCAAATAGGTGATTTTAGTGGATTGAAGTTTCACACTATGGCTTTCGCTGGTTTCCACCTATCGGACGAAAAGGGTGTCGCTTTAAAATTAGATGAAGTGAGTACCGGCCATATAGGAAACCAAGTTTTCCAACTCCACTATCTATAAGTTCTCAAACATCCTATCGTATAGATGACATTTGGGTATTCCTATCACGAATATACTTTACCATGCAGTAAATTCTTCCCTCTGATATTTCTCACTTAGAATATTGGCTCTCTCAGATATACGATATTTCTTATCGTATTGGCATTGAAGCCGATATATATATATATATATATATATATATATACATATTTTCATTATTAACACAAATAATAAATTAAATGATTGATGGATAAATTAATTGAATGGTTAAAAAAACTATAGTCAGTGCACCATTTTATCAAAATACTCCCCGAAGAAAATGTCTGGCTGCGAGTATGATCTCGACTTCTTTTAAAACGTAAAACGTTAAGTCAGTTTAAGCGCTATGTTATACCGAGAGTCATGGTCACGTCAAGTGTCAAATTGTTATACACGTATAGACTGCAAATAGAATAAAAAATTTGCATAAGAAAAAAAGTTATCTAAAAGTATTTTAGATATATACATATATAAAAATATATTCATACAAATATTTAACGAAATTGTGTAGCATTTCTTCATTGACTCACTGTTATTTTGATTAATAATTAACACATATCTCCTTCTTTTATACTTCTTGCGTTACTTCGAACATGTTGCTTTCAACAAAAGAAACTCAACATTCAGCATTAATTCATACCCACAGCATACATTCCGTACGGTTTATTATCATTAAGAGAGTCACTGCTGCTTAATAATGACATACAAATATCATATAGCTTTTTACATTATATTCTGCATCAATTCACATGTATAAGAAAGAGACAAATACAGTGAAAAACAACTAGCAGTTGGTAGAAATGTGAAGAATAATATTAATTTGCTTGCCTAACGACTTTGCTCATCATCATTAAAGTTGCTTGTTGTGTTTATTACTAAGCTTCGATTGCAAAAATGCTAAAGGCATTTACAGCTTATATTTATAAAATCTAACTGAAAAATTAATTGAAAGAATTTTAATTTTAAATAAATTATCATGCCTTATAAAAACTGCCAAAATACTTACAGCTTTTATTTATTTCACCTTGATTGAAACTTTTTGATTTATATAAAAATCCAATAATTTTATTTCATTGTTTATATAAATTTATATATTAATTTTATAAATTTATATATTAATTTTAACAAATCCTCTTATTGAATATTTTAATTTTTGCCTTTTTTAGGAATACGTACATTCATTTTTATGTTATTCTTAAATATATTTTTATTTAATATTAAATATATTACTTTCAATAATTAATTAATATATATTTCATTAAAATGTAATTTAACCGGGCTTAAGATGGGTTAATCCATAATGTGGTTTTATTACGAATATTTCTTTTAAATATAAACAAAAATTTACCAATAACTAATGGCGTTTTTGATTAGTAAATCTGGATTTAATCTAGATATACTCTCGATCTGTCAAACTTTATTGCGCAATCGAACATTTTAAGAATAATCTAACATTTTTGTAGCAGTGTTAGTAAGCATTTATATATTTCAAAAGTACATATATCGAATCAAATCATATATTATTTGTCAAGTCATATAAAACAGTTGTTCATTTTAGCGTAATTTTAATACTCTAGCAAACTGTTTAGAGTGTTATTAAATCATCTCGAGGGTTATATATTAATTTCTATTTGTTTCTATATATTATATAGATAGAAATATATATTAATCTTGATTATACTACAGATTCACCAATCGTAAATGAAAATTGCACTAAAAGTGAATCTCGATTGAAAAAGTTACCTCATGTTTACCAATCGAAAACGTCATAAGTAAGTGTTACTAATCAATCATTTTAGTTCTTAAATAAACGATCTTAAGAGCGGTTAAATTAAATTTTATAAATATAATACAATATTTCATACTTATGATTGGTAAATCTAGATTTCCTCTTGATATGTCATTTTTTGCTTATATTGTGTGGTGCAATCAAACAATTTTAGATTAATCCCAACATTTTATTTGACAGCTACACATATGTTAAAATGTCAGTACTGTTTTTTTTTAATATTTTATTTTTTTCGGTTTCCTTAAGTTGAATTTTTATTAATTAATTTGCAAGTAAACACAATATTTCAAATATTTAAAATGCCAAATACACTTGAATGGTCAAATAACATAAAACAGTTGTTAATTTCAGGGTTATTGCATTAACTTGATAAAATATCTATTGTTATAAATTAATCTAAAAGTCTCGGGTGAAAAAGTTAATATAGATTCGTTATAATCGACAAGAACATTAGATTTCTACTGCAAAATTGACTTTTAATATTTTGAAGTGCTAGTAAAATTGCGCTTAAAATATTGAAAATTTGTTTTATACCAGATTCAAAATAAAATGATTATTAGCTTTCAACATTAAACAATTTCATTTAGTTATTATTATTGACCCCAATGTAAGACAAAAATCTTATTTAATACAATAGAGTCAAATGACAAAAAAAGATTATTATTTCCGAACGAACGTCTGGTCACCCTACTAATATAACTTCTTGAAACTGAAGGACGTATTAAAATATCTGACATTAATTGTTACAAATTTATTATTATTGCAAGTTCAAAAAAAAAACATTTAAAAATTAATATTAGTAAAATAATTATCTAATTTTGTAGAAATTATGTTAGACAATAAATTTAATATTTTTACATACCTTTTCACCTACTGCACTGCTTTTTGATAACATAAAATGTCATTAACACAAATTGCAGCAACAAAAGAGAGCAACAATATTGTTTGCCGGTCGGCAATCATCATTATGCTTGCCAGTAATCGTTCATTGAATTGAGTGCTGCAATCAAATGTTCATTAGCGTAACGAAATATAAAAAAAAGCATAATGACTTTAGCAATTATCATTACTGAGAGCGGGAATCAGTAATGAATACACAAATGTAAACAAAAGGCCTGAAGATAAGAACACAAAATAATGAAACAACAACAATAACAATAAAAAAAAACATAAATAAATTAAGATTAATTTCACTCTCATTCGTAATTGGATAACATATGTAGACGAAGAAGAAGAAGAAGAAAAATTTAAATTTTTTTAAGGCTTTGTAAGCCGTTGGTATATAAAGGTAAGTAGAGTAAAGGTGATGTTGACAATTTTTTTGTAAAAGAGTTAATTAATAATTATTAATTAATAATTGATAATTAATTTTCTTTATATTATCAATTGAAAGTAATTATTATAAATTAATTATTAGTGATACATTTACTAATTTTTATAAAATATTTTTTTAAGCACATAGAGGGGGGAAAAGGGAAAAGTTCTTGAACATAATATATGTAAATAAATTTAATTAACTTCATTTCTCAGATTTTTATTCTTCTATGAAAATTAATTAATCCTTGCAATCTAAGAAGCTCTGATGTCCGTGAATGTATATATCCAATAGCTCTTCAAGATAGAAGAACAATTAACCTAAGGTGGCTGTCTTATGTCTCCAAGAGCAGCTCTATACAATAGCGCTATTCATTTTGTGGTTCTTGTAATTGAGATTTTGATAAAGTTTTTATTCCAATATATTACGAATAATATATAAAATATATACTATATTTAATCCTTTAACTCATAGGAGGAGCATAGGGCCGCAACAAATATCTTTCACTCGGTACGATTGCTAACATTTCAATGTCGATTTACCTTCTCCAGGTGTGACCACCTGCTACCCATCGGGTTCCACTCAATCGCCATATATATATAATAAATAATAAATATAATTAACTACAAGAAATATATTAGGAATACATCCATTCACACCTACCATTAGGTGTGAATGAGTTGCGACATTATTTAAATCTTCTGCATGAAATACTTTACGGAACTAGATCCTTTTTAAGGTAGTTTTCAAAAAGTTAATAGTCAAATTGCAGATTATATTTCAGATATACTTTGAGAAATATTCATCTTCAAATTGTCAAGAGTTCAAGAAATGTTCGTATAAACGTCACCTTTCGTGAAACACTACAAATAAGAATCAGTGGAGACGAATCGTAATGTTCGTC